TATTTTTAATTCGCACAGTGGAGTCCAACTGGGTCCACTCGGCACGTCTGCCACTGATTGGCCTATTGTACCTGCCCGAGGTGATTATGATGATGGAGAATTTGTTGGAATGAATATTGGGAGGGGAAACCGAAGTACTTGGAAAAAACCTGCCCCAGTGCCACTTTGTCCACCACAAATCCCACTTGACCAGACCCGGGATTGAACCCAGGCTGCGGCGGTAGGAAGCAAGCGACTAACCGCTTGAGCTATAGCGAGGCCTTTCACATATAACTTTTTTTTTCCTGTGGCGCTACAGCCCCAATTTGGGCCTAGGCCTACCTCCACGAAACTTTCCGTTTCACTTCGGTTTTTCTAGATCTTACACATACGGTAGGACTCCTTGGGCGAGTGATCAGCTCGTCGCAAGGCCTCTACGTGTAGGCAAACACAGAAAAATGCACACAAACATCCATGCCCTGAGTGGGATTCGAACCCACGATCCCGGCTTCCGAGCGAGCGAAGACAGTGCATGCCTTAGACCGCTCGGCTACCGTGACCGACCAGCATATAACTTTACTAGATATAATTCAATTCTTTCACTTCATTAGGCCAACATAAAGAGCGATATGCTTTTTGTCGTGCTGGATACAAGTCTACGCTCGTAACAGAAACTTCCACGAGTCACCGGAACGCATTTATCTCAGTATACAGAATCAGAAGGTCCACGCTCATGATTACGTAAAACAGACATCAATAATGAACAACTGTATTTACATAACCGCTTTCAGCATGCTTCAGAGCTGACGGAAAAAACTGATTAATCAACTAATACAGTGAAAAAAGAATAAGATGGCGACGAATTAGTGTCATTGCCAAGAATTAGTAATTATTTTGGTCATGCGAAGGCGTTATTTCATGACGCAGTTTCATACTTAAGCCTCAAAACATGGGTGGTCATCTTATTTGAGGACACATGAATAAATTATATTGAGAGCCAGAACCAGCATAAAAAATTACTTAAATATAAGTTTTACATTAGGATACACCTACGTCATTCATACTTCAACACAAAATTAATGAGCGATTACTAAATAGGTAGGACGGACGGACACACTCGAACAAATGGAGTCGCAAAGGAAGGCCAGTAGATGGGCAGACAAGTAGGCAGGTACACAGATATATAAATAAGGTTGACATATATATATATATATATACACACACAATATATATAGATAGATAAATAAATACACAAATAGCTAGACAGATACCTAGATAAATAGATTTTTCTTATAAGTTTCATTAACAATAAGATAAATTACAATTTACAATGAAGAATAATTATAAAATTGCGTAGTTATGGACTGCGTACGAGAGTGGGGAAATGCGTGGTTGTCTCTAAATCTGTTCACTCAGTATGATTCTTCCATCGTGCACCTTCCCTAGGATGTTCCTGCACAACCGGTAGCCTCTGCAGGTATCCGTATCATTTGCCCACAGGCTGCAGTGCACCTCTATGCACAGAGTCATGCGGAACATGAGCTGGTATTCTGGTGGCAACGAGACACAGATGACTGCCCTTAGTGCCCCTGAGCCACAGAAACCATAGACCACGTAACTTCGACTGCCCCTCAGTCACAGCCAAGACACACCACGCCGAGTACAGGAGAAACTTACGTGTACTTGTATACTGTACGTGTACGGCTATTACACGTACACCCTGGACACCATTCCCCAACAACCAGCAAATTACCTGCTGCTATTATCCATTAGATTAGATTAGAATAGATAGGTAGGTAGAGACTGGTTGGTATGTAGGTAAATAAATACATATATTGGTGGACTGAGGGACGGACGGATGCATGGAGGGATAAATGATCATGGTTACTCAAACTGTGGATCACGACCTACTATAACATTGGCCTTTGACTTCTCAAATGTTATTTAAAATATTGTTATCCACGCATGGTTTTGGCAAGTTAATAAGCTAGTGAGATTTAATATGTATGTATTTTCAGTGCTGGATTTCTATCCCATTAATCCTAATAGATCAACAGGTTCATTAAAGGGGGGGGGGAGTTCCGTAATTTATATATTGTTGTATATATTACAGCGGCATCACGAAAGTTTGTGAACCCCTGAGACACACCTCTGGTGTCAGTACACGTAGCCTCAATCCAATCCAATCTGATAAATCCAACCCCACTTCTGACACCAACTACCACGTGATAAATTATGACTATAGACGGGGTTTGAACTGATAACCGGATTTACTGAACTCCTTAACATACAAATCGTGACTACACTTCACAAATCACTATTACACATACACACACACTAGTGTTCACAGTCATGTCTTCACTAGCCGTTGCTCGGTAGCGACTTCCAACGCGAACATTCCCTTTCCTCAGGGTTCCCGAACTATTCAAGGCCTCAGACATATGAGAAATGTTTATGAAAAGATTCCATGGAAGTTTCACGCGCCACTAGTTATTTATTGTGCTTGGAAGCAATTTAACAAACATAACCCAACAGATGTCTATAAAAAATGTATAAAATTGGAGTCATTCGGTATTTCCTTTCAGAACTGGGAACGTCTATTTCACTAGGGAAAATATTGTAACATGAAGGGTGGTGCGCGTGACGACAATGAAGGGTTCTAGTTCGGATGATTGGATTTATTAGAGCTTCAGTTACACACTCTTTCTTAATTACACTTAAATAGAGGCAATATCGCTGATTTACACGCTTTCCAGTTCGCCGCTGCACACGCACTAGGATTCCCAGTCTTCACTAGTCGTCTCCTGGCATCGGATCTCAACACATAAACTATAACAGCGTCACTGGATTACACACTCCAAGTATTACACATAAAGTCTTCAAATCACACTTTAAACCCTCAAAGGCCGACCTCCTGTATTCTTCTGTACTCCTGGTTCCAATCCGCTCTGAACTTACGGCTCACAGCTCTCGCTATATAGCCGCAGCACGGACCTCATAACAAAACAAATATAGTGATGCAGAGGCGTGTTCACCTCGTCGTTGCATAGTAACGGTCGCGGCGCGGACCACATTGAAAACACTTTCCCCCCGTTGTCAGCAATATTGCGTCACCTAAGAACTAGTTGTAGCATAGCCCACAGCGAACACAGTTTCCANGCATAGGAAACAAATATAGTGATGCAGAGGCGTGTTCACCTCGTCGTTGCATAGTAACGGTCGCGGCGCGGACCACATTGAAAACACTTTCCCCCCGTTGTCAGCAATATTGCGTCACCTAAGAACTAGTTGTAGCATAGCCCACAGCGAACACAGTTTCCCCTGTTGCGTATTCACGGGAACGTGTTTATCGAGCCGTTGCCTAGAAACGCTTTTGGCGTCTAAGCTGCAATATGATAAATCGACCTACAGATCTAGTTACATTATTGAACAAGGCTGTTTAAGTACAGCAAAGGGTAAAGATATCCCTGTGCTTGATCGAGCACTATGCCATGAAGACATATGGGGAAGTGAAATTATAGCTCCACCATTCTTGACCTCGATACTAGATGGAGGTAAGTCGTCAGCTTGCCGTCCCATCCTCTTTACCCCCGGGGGAATTGTCCACAGCACCCATTGGATAGGAAGATGGGTGGGCCTCAGACCCAGTCCGGACGTTGTGGAGAAGAGAAACATTTTGTCCCTGCCAGGATCCCAACCCCAGCGGTCCAGCCCGTAACCCTTCACCATACAGACTGAGGTGCCCCGATCCCGTTTAACTACAGTAAGATAGAAAATTAAAATGGACGTCCAGTAGGAAAACAGGTAGAAAGAGGCAGTCGTGGCCAATTTTATGGTACCATCCTCACATTCGTATAAGAAACTACGGAAACCAGAAAAACAAAGGTGTATACGTCCTCCGAGCCATGATTTGGACCGGCGACTTCCAAGCATAGGAAACACAAGTTGTAAATCCACACACCGCAATATTTCGTATTCGAATCTTAACCAATTAATCAGTAAAAGAAAGTAGTTTATATCCCCCCCCCCAATGTTAGTATTAGTTGGAGTGCGGTTAGTAGCACAGACATCGGATGACTTCAATATTGCAACGTTCGTATGAAGTTTAATGAAAATCAGCCATTTTGTCCCGGACGTTCACATGCAATGACATGACGACAGATAACATTCTAAGGTAACCCCGAGGGACTTTAACACTTTTCTGTTTCAGAAGAATTCTTTTAACATAACCACTTACAGACAAAGGTATTCTTATTGCACAGTACAGGCCACATGTACGCAGTATTTATATGTACATAACAGGGATCATAAACAAGAAATTCATACAATATGTCACTGTTAAACTGTTACGAAGCTATAATTTTTCTCTGATTTATTTTTAATTGTTACTATTCCGTTAAAGTATTCTGCGCCCATCTTGTCGATGTAGCAGGATTTTGTTTTCTTGGATTGGGGTGAGACTGAGTTCACTTGGTAAGTTGGCCACTGCTTGGCCTATTGTACCAGCCCCGGATGATAGATGAATGTGAAGTTGCTGGATTGAGAATTGGCAGGGGAAACCGAAGTGCCGACGTGACCTGGGATCGCCACGGTGGGAATCCGGCGCCTAACCGCCTGAGCTACGGAGAGGTCTGTTGGCAGCAATAGTACTGCAAATTCCATGAGGAACAATACAAAAAACTAATATTCGAAGATACTTTCAAGTTACATTCTTATTTACTGTCTCCGCATTACAACTTTCATCTTATTAGAGATAATTTTACGATAATTTTCGCCCTTTCTTCTCTGGAGCAGACAGTGTATTTCCCATTGCAGACAGACAAGATTCCATTCAGACAGTTTTACTTTATTAGTAACCCCACTTTTCCAGCAATGTGTATGTACGATGTGAGGGAAGAATCAATAAATTGCGGGAACATTAACCTATAATATATATAGACACTATTATGTAGTGAAACGTGATTAGGCATCTCGACAGGAATTGGTCCAGTGCAGTGCACTGACTCGTGTCCGTGACTCACCTGTTTCAATCCAGGGATCTCCGCAACTCTCAGGCTCTACCACTGGCTCTGCCGTCGCAGGTGATGCCGCGGATTCTGAAGGCATTGCTTTTTCTCTCCTAACCTGCTTTCAGCTTTGTACTGTTACACAACAGATATTCTGTACACTGCATTAAAGCTACACGATATGTCCAGGTTCAAGAGAAGAAGAAATGAAGAACACTTATTCCATGAGACCGTTGCATCGAACTGTAAATATGAGAAGTTCGTCACACAAGATGAGACACACATGACGGTTTTTCAACTAACCCGCTTCACTAGGGGAAGCTGGGATATCACCACACGTTTTGTCTGTACGCTCATACAACAATTCGTGGAAAAACAGGTAATATACAATATTACATGAAAGTTTTCACATACAGTCTACTCCATAGAAATTGCACCAATAACTAAACAAGTTACGTGTAATGGATCTCTAGGCATATCAAAGGCAATCGAAATATTGAATTAAGGCTAAAGAGCCATTCTCTCGGATCCACTACTAACGGATTCTGTTCATGCAAATAAAGTAATCTCTCAGATCTGTCATCATATTTCTGCATTTGTACACTCATGCAGTATTGTGAAATGCCAGTAAATATGGACAGGCACATTACAGATAAGGAGCTTCCACCTGTCGAACACTTCTCGGAAACTGCACTCGCTGTCTGTTTTGCGCGATGTAATTCAGACACATTCAAGATGGACGTACAGTTTTGCGTAAGAGCGAAATGTTAAGGGTTTTCTTTTATAAACATTCCCAAGTCCCTTGTGTACGTAACAGAATGTCCAAGTACTGTAATATACGCCGGTATTCGGAATTCTTCAGTATGTCATTCTTCATTATCACAACGGATTAGCAAACAAAACTCTGTAAGCAGGAAAATTTATGTTAAAATTAATAAAATCAATTAAAATAGTGTATGAAAGAAAGTCACTAAGGTGACAGTTCGGAAAGGGTTGATGTTAGTTTTGAAAACTGCAGATGTTCAGGTCACTTAAGAAATTATGTTCACGATAAGTTGTCGCTTCATACACACACACACGGAATGAATAATAAACATCCACTTAAGCGCCGAAAATTCCAAGTAACTTTCTCACGGATGTCACTGCCCCATTAGAGACATTCAGAAAAAACAGCAAGCACTTTAAACTAAAACGGAACTAAACACCGGCAACTTCTTTATTTTCGTGACGAGTATGTTTATGGCTCTGAACGTCCGAATCAATTCCATTTTCTCGATACAGAACTGACAGTATCTGCAAAACACAAGTGGTTCTCTTCAACAGAACAGTACAGTACAGTACAGTACAGCACAGCACAGCACAGCACAACACATCGCTTCACCACACGCCACGAGTTGAGACGCTACTGAAAGAAATCTGAACCAACAGTGGTGTGGAGCGGTCTCCTCTTTCCCTTCCCCCACCACCCCTCTCCCTCGGAACAGCAGAACTACACACGAAACTGGAGATCAATCTGGGAGACTTGGAATTAGAAATGGAGGGACAGAATGGAGGGAGATGACGCTTCTAGTGTTGTTACGTACGCATGCACTCTGTTCTAGGCACACCATTCACAAAACAGCGGTCCTTATACTGAAGAACTGTGCAATGCAGAAAAGTTTACGGTAGCAATACGGAATGTATGCGATTGACTGTGGGATATCCGTACACTTGAAGACACAATTGTCAGCTTAAACTGAGATGGATGACACACCAAGCAATTTCAAAATGTGTTTATAAGGAATGAGATCCGTGTTTCTAAGCGGTACACCTTGCTCGAAGCCTTTTATTACCTACTGAATTCGTAAAAATTGTTCGCAAAATGAGATCCCCTATGTTCAAAGCGAGTCACAACTCTCTGATACCGATCTGTAAATTGATTCGCAGGTTTAAATCTGAACATTCTCTTTAATACCAGAGAACATTTTAGGTTAACTGACTTTTGGCTCATCCTCAACATGATGATGCTTTTAGTTGTTAAAGCCAAATCGTGTTCGTGTCAGCATTTCTGTCCCCATGTTATATGTTCGTGACTACTGAGAAACTAAAGCTGTCCCTGTAACAGGCGTGGAGGCCCATAGGTTGTAAAACGTCATGGTCGCCACATTTTCTTGACAATCGGCTCACAGGTGGCGGCGAAATTTTCAACCTTAAGCGCCAGCCGCCCTTTATCCCTGGGAAGATTCCTGGTACTGATTTCTATTAGAGGCTGAGTCGACCCCCGGTCATATTGCGGCTGGAAGGATTATGTTAATTGAAATCCAATTGCCTCATCTAGAATCGAACCCGCGACCTTCTGGCTTGTAGCATAGTGACTCAACCAACTACGTTACCGCGTGCACCGAATACTGAAAAGGCAAAAATTAAATTATCCCACTGCTTACATAGCACGCCGTGAAGACTTATCACAGAGAGCGGTAAGCTTGACGTGTACGAAAACAACCCTGGTACCATTTTTTATGGCATATTAAAGCGTTACACCGCGTAATACTCGTGCACAAATAAGAGGGATAAGTCCATCAAGTGTAGCAAGTTTAACAGGAGGAAGTAAAAGCTTTGTCTTTAGACGTTTCGGCCGCTACTGACCATCACCAGAAGGCACAGTCAACACTATGAAGGAACTACTTTACATAAGTTTTACCATAGTTCGGTTTTCGATTTTTGAGATGTGAAATAAAGTCACCCTACCGCCTTAAAAAATAGGCATGGCGGCATGCATGAAGTGGTAATGTTAACACTAGTTTAGAACACACAGACCCCCGTGACAATTACTTGTTACCTACCCCTCTATGTTAAATCGCTGAGGCGAGATGTTCTGTTCCCTCCGTGTCTTCAACACTGTATCTGTCTGTTTCTGTCCATCTGTCTCTGTACCCGTGTGTCTATGTATCCTCTCAGATTCTTGTTAGGATGTAAGATTTGAGGCTTTCACGGAGGTGACTATGAAGAAAGCAGTCTTCTGGGATTTGGCACAGTGTATATGTGATGTTAACCGACGTTTCGGAGGAACGTATCGCCTCCATCTTCAAGGTAGAAGGAAAAATATAAGAAATCCGCAAGCGAAGAGACCGTGAGAACCGGTAAAACCGAAACGTCGGTTAACATCACATATACACTGTGCCAAATCCCAGAAGACTGCTTTCTCTTGTTAGGATGTTTGTGAGACCACCTTTGTAGCCCATTTTCCTTATTTTGAGAAAATAAAGTGAATCTTATGAAATCACCTACCTCTCTGTCCATGTATCCCCACCCCAAGTTTTTTAGGTTTACGAGGCGTAAGAGATAACGTTGCTCTGTACTCCTCTGTTTTTTTAGTTTTCAACGCGGTTCTTGCCATATTAAAGTAGGCCATTATTTCTTCCTAGAACTTCTTGTTATTTTACCAGGTACGTGGTTCTGTTGCATCCGGCCTGCCATTTGTCTTCAAGCTGATGTTATCTTGTCTCATACATTGTGAAATGAACTGTAGATGGATGTGAGTAGTAAGATTCACGCTCCGTCTGTTCTACCCCACATAAAGAGCTTCCAGTAACCACTGAATTTCGAGAAAAGGTTTATTATGTCGTTATAGTTGGAATTTAATTTTTATTTTGACGTTATTATAGTAATTTAATTTTGTTGCGAACCAGTCAGTTGTAGGCCTGTCTGCAGCGAGAGGTCTTATCTCTTCAACCGTAAATGTATATCTGTAATAAGTGGACATGAAGGTCACAGAGGGAACAAAACGCAAAGAAGACACTTTGTTATGAACGCCTGGAAGCAAAACAATTCTCTCGACACGTGGCTGTTGTTGACGATTTTGAGTTCAACGCCTCATGAAATACTTGTGGCAGATGACTGATAATTTCGCGGCTACTCTATACTTAAGGCCAGAGATGTTCTAAGAAAAAAATGGCCACCTTCTTCACTTACCCCCCTTGCTCTGTTGAGAGCTCTAAGTACAAGTCAAATCGTCAAAGCACGGCGTAGTATGAGTCTTGCTTTTATTGTACTGTCTCAACTCACTCTTCTCATTATGGGCATGCGCAACTCGCCCAATTTGGAGCCAAAATATGGATCCATAAAAGGAAAAGTGGGAGGTCTCGCAGGAAGTCTTTGCCCCCCCCCCCTTTTGCAGCCACAGTTGTTGTGGTTTTACTGAGATCTTACTTTTTTCCTACGTTTCAAGCGCATTTTTCATACATTCAAATATTCCTTGATCGATGGGCCCTGAAAGATCTACCCATCCGAACAATATACTCTACATACAAAATTCTTGTCTGAAAAGCTGAAGAGAACAAACCGCGTGTGAGAGCTAGGGCAGGCAAAAGGGAGAAGATAAAATCAAAATAGGAGAAGATAAAGTTTCTCTGTGTTCAAGCATCATGGCCTTAAGACGTAAGAGGGAGAGACGTGAAGCTCCACGCATTTCCAGCTTCCAGGATGGATGAAGGTGGGAGGTTAGCTTCGCGTTCAGACCTCCATACTCAAAGAGAAGGGACATGGTATCCATCGGAAAAGAGTCTGAGTGAGCACAAGAGCCGGTCTGAATGCAATGATGAAGACAAATACCTCCCTTGTCGGGATTCGAATCCAGTCTTCTACTTAGAACCCAGTTAGTTTACTGAGTTATCCCGAATCATAGAAAGAGACTATTTAAGTACTCGTAGAACTTAGAGAAATGAGATGTGTTGGGTGCGGTCTATGTTGGCCTGACACAGGATAGCGTCCAGTGGTGCGCATATGTGAATTCGGCAATCAACTTCGAGGTTCCGTAAAATCCAGGAAGTACTTGGGCAGCTGGAAAACCGTAAAGCTTTCCAAGGAAAGCTCTGGAGTCATGGAATTAATGAAGACTGAAGCTCGAGTTCTGTATGAAGGTGCATGAAAGGAACGAGAGTAAAGCTCAACTCATTCTTAGCCTTGGCATTAGGTGGGGATTAGTGATTAGCTTCACGTTCCAGCCTTTTTTTTATCAATGAGAATAGCCCCCCTCGTTGGTGTCACCACCTTATCGTGGTGAGGGGTTTGAGTATGCAAAGGACCCTGAGAGCTATACCAGCGGTAGCGTAGCTACTGGCAGAACCTCCCTTGCTGGATAGGTCAAAGGGTAGGCATCAGACGAAGAGAGACACCAAAAACCAAAAACTGATGCCGGAAGCAGCGCCATCAGCAGCGACTTGAAGCACAGAGCAAATGATGCTCGAAATGGTTGAAGTTCGTATAGCAACAGGCATGACCAGAGTGGTCTGTGAAGAGACTGTGGACCTGTCGTCTGACAGATTACTGATGAATGATGAATGAATGAATGAATGAATGAGAATAGCCACATGGGAAGTTGCCTTAAAACGAACTCTGGTCGCCTTTTTAAATATTGCTACCTCTCCACTATTCATTACACTTTCCAACTTATTCGATATTATGTAAACCCTACAGTTGAAATAGTGTCATTAATTAACATAAGAATGAACATCCAACTAGATGTTATCCCCCCAAATCATTTCAACATTGTCTATTACGAGAATAATCTCCAATGGCATTGCAGACTTGAATTTTCCTGGAGACATTTATTTAAATAATTTAAAAAATTATTGTGGTGTAGAATTGTTATTGTGCATGTGATAAAATATTTTAGCCTTTTACAAGCAATAAGCCTGAATCTGAGCCATAAATAACTTGACCGTCAGTGTCATAAAACAGTTTATGAATGTTTTAATTCACCAGTTCGCTCACGTAACGATTCGAACTTTTGTTAAATTTTCACTCATTTGGTTCGTGTGAAATATTACGAGTAATTATTACTTAGGCTCTATAGCGTGTTATCTTCTTTAAGAAGCAAGTTTTCTCCACCGATCAAAAGATTCTCTGCTTTTATGGAGCCCGGAAATTCATTACCGTGTTCACAAAACTCTTCTTCTAGACCCTGGGCTCAATAAGTTTCAATCAATAATCCAGTAATTGAAACCGCAAAGATTATGTTCTCTCATAAAGTAAGAAAATAAAAAACGAATATTAATCTCACAAGAAACGCAGTGGCTGAAAGTGTGACTGTTCTTGGTAATGATGTGAGAGACCAATTAAAAGAAATTCGTAAAGAGATTTAACGCTATTCGCTAGCAGCTGGACAAAGCAAAGATGTCAAAGATATCACTGAACTTACAGTGTTCATTCATAACTGTACCTAGTATGCAGCTGATATGGAGAAACTGTCGGAATTAATTCCAATTCATGGTACTGCTACTTTGGAAGTTATTTTCAGTCAACTGGGAAAAATACTTTAATAACCTGAACTCACACTTAACATATTCTGCTGTAGTAACCGGCTCTAAACAATAACTATTGTGAGGAGACT